GCGAAAATGCTGAGAATACTTTCAAAAATATACATGTTTATTGATGCAAAGTGGGTGAAGAGAAGAAAAATATAAATCAAATCAATATTTGGTGTGATTACCCTTTGGCTTCAAACCCGCATCAATTCTTAAGGTGCCTATACACCTTACAATTATCTGCAGGTTTTCTGTGGTCAGATGGAAAAAGTGCAACAGATTGGCCCAGGTGGAGATTACTCCATCCACACAGTTAAGTGTAGATGGAGGAATCGTTTGCACCTTTTTCATGACCACAGAAAATCTGCAGATAATTGTAAGGTGTATGGCCAGCTTTACACTTGCACAAAGTCAGGGATTTTGTAGGATTAGAGTCTGGTGTATGAGTAACCAATTGTACCAAGCAGCTGCTAATGATCATTAATTTCATATGTAGGTTGAAACACAGTCATTAACTGAAACAGAAACAGCTGTGTAGGAGGCTTACAACTGGGTGAGGAATAGCCAAACTCTGCTACTAAGTTGAGGTTGTGGAAGACTTTCATGTCACAGATCATACACCATAGCAAGACTCAGTACAGCAACAAGACACAAGGTGGTTATACTGCATCAGCAAGGTTTCTCACAGGCAAAGATTTCAAAGCAGTCTGGGCATTTTAAGATGTGCTGTTCAAGCTCTTTTGAAGAAGCACAAAGAAATGGGCAACGTTGAGGACCGTAGACGCAGTGGTCAGCCAAGGAAACTTAATGCAGCAGATGAAAGACACATCATGCTTACAAAACATAGGAACTAGGGTGCAGCAAAATGGATGCAGGTGCTCTGGACTGATGAGTCAAAATGTTAAATATTTGGCTGTAGCAGGAGGCAGTTTGCTCAGTGAATTGCTGGAAAGCAGTACAATAATGAGTGTCTGCAGGCAACAGTGAACCATGGTGGAGGTTCCTTGCAAGTCTGGGGCTTCATTTCTGCCAATGGAGTTGGAGGTTTGGTCAGAATCAATGGATCCCTCAATGCTGAGAAATACCAGCAGATACTTATCTATCATTCCATACCACTAGGGAGACGTGTGACTGGCCCCAAATGTATTCTGCAGCATAACAACAACCCCAAACATACAGCCAATGTCATTAAGAACTATCTTCAGTGTAATAAAGAACAAGGAGTCCTGGAAGTGATGGTTTGACCCCCACAGAGCCCTGATCTCAACATCATGGAGTTTGTCTGAGATTACATGAAGAGACAGAAAGATATGAGGCAGCCGACATCCACAGAAGATCTGTGCTAAGTTCTCCAAGATGTACCTAGAACAACCTACCTGCCGAGTTCCTTCAAAAAATGTGTGCAGGTGTACCTAGAAGAATTGATGCTGCTTTGAAGGCAAAGGGCGGTCACACCCTGGTGTACAGGAACCAGGAGCAGGTAAGAGGAGCTGGGAGGTAGGGAGGGAGATGCAGCCCTGACCAGCCCACCTGAGACCCACCTGACCAGCCCACCTGAGACGCCTGCAGAGCCCACCATAGAGAGTATCAAATGGGCTGTGCAGCATCTATGGTGGGCTCTGCAGGGTCACTCTCAGGTATGCGTGGGGTCTCAGGTGGGCCCTGCGTCCAGCGTGTCACTAAGCCCTGCGTCCAGCGGGTCACTAAGCCCTGAGTCCAGCGCATCTCTAAGCCTTGAGTCCAGCGGGTCACTAGGCCTAGAGTACCACGGGTTACTAAGCTCAGAGTCAAATTCATATACTGTTCTGCATTGCTGTATAAATGTATTGCTGGGATTTGTATTCCCCCTACAGCTGGTGCCATTGTGCATTAGAGTGTAAGCTCCTCTATACAGAGACTGATGTGACTGACTCAGTGTTTTCTGTACAGCACTGTGGTATATGTCATAGCTACTGTATATATATGTATAATCATAGTGTGTGACTGTGGGGAGACATTAGAGTGTAAACTCCTCTGTGCAGAGACCGATGTAACTGGCTCAGTGTTCTCTGTACAGCACTGTGATATATGTCAGAGCTATATAAATGTATAAAAATAATAACATAATAACAGTGTGACTGGCTCAGTGTGGTGGCGGCAAGGCCAGCCTTAGGGGTGTGCAAGCTGTGCGACCGCACAGGGCGCCATGGCAACAAAGGCGCCAGGCGGCCGAAACAGCTCGCCCTCGGAGCGGCTTCTCTCCTCCTCACCACTGGCCATCCAACATGACAGCGCTCCCTCGTCCGCCCTCGGAGCCGCTGTCATCCTGTCAGTTTCAAGTGCTTGGCAGAGCAGGGGATTGGTAAATATCAATGATACTTACCGATCCTCCGTGTGAGATCATCTGATCACTCCAGTGTTTGTAAATAACTGGGGACACATAGTACTATGTGTCCCCATAGTACTATGTGTCCCCATAGTACTATGTGTCCCCATAGTACTATGTGTCCCCATAGTACTATGTGTCCCCAGTTATGAATGAACAGGCTGTGATTTACATCACAGCCTGTTCATTCAAGATTTCCTCAATGGGGAGAAGCACTCAGTACAGAGGCTCCTCCCCATTCAGAACCTGCTAATAGTAAATATTTTACTATCATCAGAGTCTGAACTGAGTGCTTCCCATTCACTGAGTTTGGTGTCCTCAATTTCTTTTCCATTTGGGGTCTGTTTAGACCCCTAATATTTCACCGAAGCCCCCCCAACAGTAAAAGAATAAAAAAAAAAATGATTTAGAAAAATTATAAAAATGTAAAAAATTATTTTAAAAAAGTGAAAACTTTTAGTTTGACATTTATTGTTTGCCTTCTGTTGTTTTATTTGATAAGAATATTTACATTGTGCCTACAAGTTTAATACCTTTGAATAAAAGTTTTATTTTTATCATACTTTTTAATATATTTTTGTTTGCAGCTTAACAAAATAGGAGTCTTTAAATGGTGCACTGGGGGTGTGGCCACTGAGGGGTGTGGTCACTGAGGGGCGCTGTAAAGCTTTCTCGCACAGGGCGCCTAAAGGCCTAAGGCCGGCCCTGGGTGGCGGTGCGGGGGGCAGGCGTTGTGGCCTAAAGCCGTGTTAAGGTGCCCATACACCTTGCGATTATCGTAAGATAATCGCGGGAAATCCCGCGATCGTATGATAATCGCAAGGTGCATGGAAGGCCTGCGACCGTTTCTACTGTACGGTCGCACGACTTTTGTCTTACGAACACGTTCGAAAACCAGTCAAGAATCGTACGATTTTCGGCTGGTTTGTGGCATGCTCGTAAGATAATTGCTGCACGCGCACACTGCCCTTTATTGCGGTCATCGCAAGTACGATCTGCCTGTACAAGATGGGCAGATCATACATTTTTTTAATTACCTTTAATTACCTTTAGGACTATGGGCACCTTAAGGGGCTACAACATTTCTGATGGCTTCTCTGAATAAGCAAAAGGGAATTTTTTTGCTATTGTTCCTACCAGGGACACTAGCAGCATGGAACCTGCATGTCCTCCCTGTGTCTGCCTGCGTTTTCTCCAGGTGCTCCAGTTTAACTGGTAATCAGTAAACATACAGGTACGTTGATATGCTTCCTAACTAGCTCAGCTGTGTGTGTCTATATGGTTGTAGTAGGAAGGTTAAGGTGCCCATACACCTTGCGATTATCGTACGATAATTGCGGGAAATCCCGCGATCGTACAATAATCGCAAGGTGTATGGAAGGTATGTGGAAGGCGTGCGACCGTTTCTACTGTACGGTCGCACGACTTTTGTCTTACGAACACGTTCAAAAAACAGCCAAGAATCGTACGATTTTCGGCTGGTTTGTGGCATGCTCGTAAGATAATTGCCGCACGGGCCGGTGTGCGCACGCGCACACTGCCCGTTCAGCATTGCGGCCTGTCCAAGATGGGCAGATCATACGAGCTTTTAATAAGCTTACGACCATCGCAAGACAAAAGTCTTGCGATGGTCGTAAGGTGTATGGGCACCTTTATACTGTCAGCTCCTTTGGCAGCAATGACTGATATGGATGGTTCAATGTGTCTTTTAAAAGCACTACAAAGAGAGTAAAATATTTAAATAAGTAGAAATAAAAGTAATTCAGGTAGATGGACTTGTTTCATAGTTAAATCATATGTCCCAAATCATAGATAAACTTAGCACAATATACATATATGTGTGACTTGTAGTTACATGAGTTATATATAATTAATTTTGGGTTGGTTTACAGTTTGGTCTTCAATTGAAAATAAAATCTCTTTGGACCTAAACTTTGGCCAATCTGCTGTAAATTAGAAATAAATACATCTGTTTTTCCTGCAGTGCAAACAACAAAGTACATCTGCAATTTTCATTTTACATTTTTATCATTCAAATTTCAGATCAACTTCTTGGTATAGTATATACATAAAAAGCAGCTATACAGCAATTACAATTTTTAAAGATAAGAGAGCAACTTTCTTTGTCTCTGTTTTTTTTTTTGCTGTTAAAATCCATGGCTTAGACATGATGCATGTTAATGGGATTAAATGAGAACAAACAATAAAAAGCCCGAGCTCAAATGTCTCTTTTTCATTTTTCTTTTTTTTTTAAACTTTGCCCTCTTCTAGACAAGGGGAAAGGGAACACTTTTTTTTTAGCTGCTGTGATCAAACAATGTCACATCACTATGGCAATCGTTGTCCATATCTGGAATACAGAGCAACGTTAATTGTGCAATGTAGCATTGCTAGTGCATGTCAATCAGAGTCTATGAATTGAGAAAAATTTGCTCTGTTCATTCTCTTAAATGATGTACCCAATTAAACCTGTTAGAATTCATGATCTTCAGTCAAGGTTAAATGAAAGTAGTTACTCCTGTCAGCTAGGTGATTAAATGCTGCCTACATCAGGCACATTTATGTGCAAAATTAAAATTTTGGTATAAAGCATGAATCTTTATGCATGCCTGTTAATTATCTCACCGTTGTTCTACTTATTAAATGCCCGCTGCATCTCTCCATCATCAGCTTTCTTTCACAACTTATTGTGTAGTTCACGTAATGCCAAAATTCAGTGCTGTGCTGGGAATATTGTCGGGCTAGTTCACACTGTGAAATGTGTTGCTAGGCTTAGTAGTAAATCAAGGGCTTCAAGTGTAACTGAAAATTAAAATTAAATTTTTTCTGATTTATACAATATTTTCCAAGACACTAGTCTTTCTGTTATCATTAAACTTGGTTTACATCGCTAAGCTACAGTCTGGCTAGATCTCACCTTGGATATAAATCTTTCTCTGTACTCACAAACAGATCAAAACTGCAGCATGTACTTTTTTCACTTTATCAGAGTTGTCAAGTACCCCTCCCCCATGTGCAATAGAATGCTTCACCCAGCAGGAAGTGGCACACAAGTTGCCTAAGTAGGTAGCACTTGAGTTACATGACCATTGTTTCCAATTGCGGGAAAGAGCCCTTTCAATTTTTCTGGGAATGTTGGCAAGTTTGTTTTATAAATAGCTCACACAAATTGAATTATAGCACACTGATGTCAGCTAGCAAAAAAACAATTTTTAGGGGCGTTAATACCGTAGTTATTATTTTAATTATTATTATTATTATTACTTTTAATACTTGTCTATTTTTTATTAGTGATATTATTTTTAACACCTGCCTAGAGATGACCCAGCCATTACATCTTACGACCATCGCAAGACAAAAGTCTTGCGATGGTCGTAAGGTGTATGGGCACCTTTATACTGTCAGCTCCTTTGGCAGCAATGACTGATATGGATGGTTCAATGTGTCTTTTAAAAGCACTACAAAGAGAGTAAAATATTTAAATAAGTAGAAATAAAAGTAATTCAGGTAGATGGACTTGTTTCATAGTTAAATCATATGTCCCAAATCATAGATAAACTTAGCACAATATACATATATGTGTGACTTGTAGTTACATGAGTTATATATAATTAATTTTGGGTTGGTTTACAGTTTGGTCTTCAATTGAAAATAAAATCTCTTTGGACCTAAACTTTGGCCAATCTGCTGTAAATTAGAAATAAATACATCTGTTTTTCCTGCAGTGCAAACAACAAAGTACATCTGCAATTTTCATTTTACATTTTTATCATTCAAATTTCAGATCAACTTCTTGGTATAGTATATACATAAAAAGCAGCTATACAGCAATTACAATTTTTAAAGATAAGAGAGCAACTTTCTTTGTCTCTGTTTTTTTTTTTGCTGTTAAAATCCATGGCTTAGACATGATGCATGTTAATGGGATTAAATGAGAACAAACAATAAAAAGCCCGAGCTCAAATGTCTCTTTTTCATTTTTCTTTTTTTTTTAAACTTTGCCCTCTTCTAGACAAGGGGAAAGGGAACACTTTTTTTTTAGCTGCTGTGATCAAACAATGTCACATCACTATGGCAATCGTTGTCCATATCTGGAATACAGAGCAACGTTAATTGTGCAATGTAGCATTGCTAGTGCATGTCAATCAGAGTCTATGAATTGAGAAAAATTTGCTCTGTTCATTCTCTTAAATGATGTACCCAATTAAACCTGTTAGAATTCATGATCTTCAGTCAAGGTTAAATGAAAGTAGTTACTCCTGTCAGCTAGGTGATTAAATGCTGCCTACATCAGGCACATTTATGTGCAAAATTAAAATTTTGGTATAAAGCATGAATCTTTATGCATGCCTGTTAATTATCTCACCGTTGTTCTACTTATTAAATGCCCGCTGCATCTCTCCATCATCAGCTTTCTTTCACAACTTATTGTGTAGTTCACGTAATGCCAAAATTCAGTGCTGTGCTGGGAATATTGTCGGGCTAGTTCACACTGTGAAATGTGTTGCTAGGCTTAGTAGTAAATCAAGGGCTTCAAGTGTAACTGAAAATTAAAATTAAATTTTTTCTGATTTATACAATATTTTCCAAGACACTAGTCTTTCTGTTATCATTAAACTTGGTTTACATCGCTAAGCTACAGTCTGGCTAGATCTCACCTTGGATATAAATCTTTCTCTGTACTCACAAACAGATCAAAACTGCAGCATGTACTTTTTTCACTTTATCAGAGTTGTCAAGTACCCCTCCCCCATGTGCAATAGAATGCTTCACCCAGCAGGAAGTGGCACACAAGTTGCCTAAGTAGGTAGCACTTGAGTTACATGACCATTGTTTCCAATTGCGGGAAAGAGCCCTTTCAATTTTTCTGGGAATGTTGGCAAGTTTGTTTTATAAATAGCTCACACAAATTGAATTATAGCACACTGATGTCAGCTAGCAAAAAAACAATTTTTAGGGGCGTTAATACCGTAGTTATTATTTTAATTATTATTATTATTATTACTTTTATTACTTGTCTATTTTTTATTAGTGATATTATTTTTAACACCTGCCTAGAGATGACCCAGCCATTACAACCACCAGAGAGTCCCCTAGTGAGTTTTGACCGGGGTGGGAAAGTGCGGTCCCCCAGCTAGAAGTCCCATGAGGTACTGCAAGACTAACATTTAAAGGGATGACTCCTAGATGCAGAAGCATGTTGGGATTTGTAGTTAAAACACAGCTGGAGGGCTGCAACTGCCCACCCCTGATCTTGACTATATATAAAATCATTACTGAAAATAATGATGGAGATTTATCATAACTACTACACAAAAAGAGAGTCCAAAATTAGAACATATTAGAATACATTTAAAAACAGATAACGGCTTATTTTCATAAACCTGTGCTGCTAAAAGTGTCAGTGCACCAAAATAAAACTTGGCCCTGACACTTCAACTTCATATATGTATTTTTGGTGAAAAATGTTGCAAGTTCAATAGTAACTCTATTGCAGATCCTTGAAGGCTTGTTCACACCAATTGCGGTGTTTCCAGAGTGGTAGCTGCTGGAACACACCACAATCGCTCACAAAACTGGCAATGGCATCGCTGCCCTTTCTCTATAAAATATTGTTTACAGCGTGTACATTGATAGCTAAATACTGAATGTCAACACCCAACGCAAACAGATTGAGGGGAATTTATCAAAACTGGAGCAGACATACTCAAGAGCAGCTGTGCATGGCAACCAATCAGTTTCTCTCTTTCATTTTCCAAGCTTAACTGAACAAACTGAAAAGAGAAGCTGATTGGTTACGATGGCAAACTGCTCCAGATTATGTCTGCTCCAGTTTTGATAAATTCACCCAATGAACTTCTAAAGTAAAATCCACAACCCCCTATGCTTATTTGTGTATTTATATCCACAGAGGTTGCCCCTAAAACAACAAAAACATTTCTCATTTCATCGTAGTCAGCATAAGCAGAAGAATCATAACTCTAAAGAATAACACACATGATTAAAACCACAGAAAACCCCAACATTATAGAGACATACCTCAAGCTTTTTCCTGATGATCTCAAATTTCTCAGCTGCGTATACCAAGTCTGTGTTGGCTTGAGACAGTGACTGACGCTTGTTATCCACTTCACAGTAAACCTAAAAAAACATATTATAGTCACCAGATGTCTTATTTTACACTGCTGCTCAGTGACAACTGTGCTCATCATTTTAACAAATCCAAGTTTAAAGGTCATTCCACCCATAACTTATATTTTAGCTTTGGTAGATCCAGGAGAGGACTTGTGTCGATGGGATTTAGGCTTGTGTCGATTGCATCAGTTTCATATCAGTTTAAGACTCTTCTAAGATCATTTAGAATTCATTGACAGCTGCATTTGACCTTCTGACCTGCATTTGAGACTTGTATAGAATACATAACGTGTCTAATGCGATGAAAAGTCCAATTACACAGCACAAGGCCTAACAGTTTTATATTTTTGGGGACACTATTTGTGAGATCTCTGTGGATTAGTTTGTGGGTCTTCACAGCTAATGTGGCTCATTATAGAGTCCCAAGCTCCTCGTTTGATCTTTATTCTATTTTACATTATAGAAAACACAACAGAAGGTGAGGAGCAACCAAAGCTCCATAGTGTGCTTGAAAACACCAAAAAACTATCGAGAGTAGATCTCATCCTTTTAAGATATATAATAAGCTAACAGGTGGCTTAGCACAACAGATTCCACCCTTAAGTAAATTACAGAATTTTTGTACATACAGTTTCTTGAAGGTCATTAAGGGGCACAGGAGTTCTTTATTCTGAATTGGGTTATACTGCCTTCTACAGAAGAGCTCTACTAAGAAATAGATCACAAACACAGAGGTGTGGAAACAAAGCAGTCCAACTGAGGAGTGGGCAACACAGCAAACAAAACATTAAAGGCCGTCATAATAACACAAAATAAAATTGGAGGCAGTCTGCAGGAAATAGGTGCCTAAAGACCAATGTGATTGGAGACCATTGTCCTGGCCCAAAGGAAAAATTCTAGGCAGGTCCTACAATCTTTGGTCTAGCAAGGTCCAGAAATAGCCTCTAAGATATCACCGAGCATTAGACGAACTGAATAGCTGCATACAGAGCCCAGAACAGCAGCATGTATTGTAGGTGAGATCTTGATTAAAGAAAAAAATATCTTGAGAAAAATAAAATGCCTAGTAAAAAAGGAATAAACTTTTCTCAATAGAGAATCCTCTAGAACATCAGTAAAACAACAAACAGCATGCTGGGAGTGGGAGTGGTTATTTTTAGCTGGCCAAGGGCCTTTTTGTTTGCCAGTGTCCATATCCTCCATATCCTCCTGTAGGTGGCAGTATAACCCAATAATATCAGAATAACTGAATTCCGTGTCCCTAATGAACGATAAAGAAATGATCAGCTCTTTAACTAAATGGATGAATTAATTTTCTTGCTGGCAGCCACTCTATTTGCAGAACACTGAGGTAATTTACTAGGGGCAGCGTGGATGGGGAAAACAGTGTGGATGGGGGAAATTCCCCTGCCAGCTATTGTATCAGAGAACAGAGACAGCGCATGCTCCAGCTGCTATCAGCTGCTATAAGGCCTGCATGGAGAAGGGGAAAAGGGGAGTGGCTTGCTGCCAGGGCTATGTGTATTGACGAACGCAAAAATACCCTTCACACTGCCAACTGGGAGCTTGCACATATAGGTGTCACCATGAGTTTCTGCAAAGCAATGGGGACACCTGAAGGTATGCACCAAGGAAGGGGGGTTTTGCAAACCATAAATTTGAAGCAGCTACAAGCTACTGTCAGGGTTTCTTAGTTTCTTACCCTTCCTTTTCCAGTTGCTTGCACCATGGCTTGTGCAGTGTTTCTGACACTGTTGTTCCTCTTTGGCGGCCTTTTATGACCAAACCCATTAACATCATCATTCTGCAACTACCAGCAAAACTTCTGACAAATTCCAAGTGCTCTGCTGTTGTTCCTGTTCTCCGTGCATGACCCTGACTCTGGCTGACACCTCCTGGTTCCTGACTGCTATTGTTTCTGTTCATCCTGCTTTCAGTGTTCCCTGATCTGGTTTGGCTGACAACACGCTTTAGCATCTGACCTCTGACCTGGTACTGACGACGTCTTGGACTTTCTCCATTGTTTTTTGCCATTTATGTTTATAGTTTTTTTTTCAATTTTAAACCTGCACTTTAGGTTTCTGTCTTGATTCCCTAACAGCTACAATCGAAAACAGGACTTCAGACAAGGTTAATGCTGAGGTTTGCTGCACTACATTATTTTGTATACGAAAGGTTTAATAACATTTTAAATATGCTGCAAATGGAGGCATTTGTCATCAAGCAGTTAATCTTATGCCACTGAGCAATTTAATATCTTCTGTATTCTCCTATCTTACAACATGCTTTATATAAACCAGCATGATCAGAGAAATATGAGCTAGAGATGAGGTAGGAAGATGTCACAGGATGAAGAATGGATGCTCCTTCGCTGCCGTCCTGGTCAGTTCACAGAGGAATTTAATTAATTAGAATAAAAATTGACTTTCACACTTCCTTTAAAAGTTCTTGCTGTTCTCCGGTAAAATATTTATCATAAATAGTATAAAAGTACAAACTATTACGAATATTCTTTATTGTGAAAATAAATTAAGTTATTGTCACTACGAACAAAACTGGAACAGAGTACAAATCCACCAGTGCCTGTTTGTGACATTGTCGCTCTTATTTTCATATCTAGGTATATTTGACAAGTCTATAAAAGACATTTTGATATATTAAAAAAAGAGTTTCTGTGTTGCAATCTATTATATCCACATTTTCCTTTTATTACGTCCTAGAAGCTGTAAAAGGGCAACACAGACACTGTGCAGACAAAATTATCCATGAGGTCTGAAATGACTTTTCTGATGTGTGCACAGACCATGTAGAGCACCAAGGCTATTTCCTCAGCTGGAACAAGTGTAGACAACTTTGCACTAGATTGGACTGGGGCTTAAAGCCACACTGCAGTCAGAATTAAAATTTACACAGTGCTCTGGGTGTTTTAATTATCATTAAAAATGATGGTATTGTGTGCAGAGGGAGGCTACAAAGTAGAAAAATCTTACCTAGCAGCATAACGTCCCCTGAATGCCCAGTTTCTGGGCACTGCAGAGAGGGAGTGATGCAACCTGAGCTATACAGCACTCCAGTCGCACCTCCCACCTGCTTTTCCCTTTCTTGGACTGACACCATTTTTATCAAACTGAATAACACTAACCTTTATATCATAGCTTTTACATAGATATTATTTTATCGGCTCCAACACTGGAAAGAATAGAAACAACTGTTTCAATGGTGACCATGCCCAATGTGTTACACTACACCTGTGCTACCCACCAGTCTATTGGTGCTGCAAGTCTTAAGGTGCCCATACACCTTACAACCATCGCAAGACTTTTGTCTTGCGATGGTTGTAAGCTAATTAAAAGCTCGTACGATCTGCCCATCTTGGACAGGCAGATCGTACTTGCGATCATCGAAAGCCCGCCCCGCTGAGGAGCAGGCTTCCGATGACTGCAATGCTGAACGGGCAGTGTGCGCGTGCGCACACCGGCCCGTTCCGCAGCTGTCGAACGAGTATGCCACTAACCCGCCGACAATCTTACGATTCTCGTCGGGTTTTCTAGCATGCTCGTTTGACAAAAGACGTGCGACCGTACAGTAGAAACGGTCGCACGCCTTCCATACACCTGCCGATTATCGTACGATTGCGGGATTTCACGCGATTAGCGTACGATAATTGCAAGGTGTATGGGGACCTTTAGAGATTAGAACAACCAGTGAAATGGTGATTCTGCCCAAAGTGATACCCCAAACACACTAGGTGCTGCAAGACAATATTCTACAGATGGCAAACTCTAACGGCAAAAAAGGATCAAGAACATCTGTACAGTATTGTCAAAAAATATTATAAAAGCTGCTGGAAAGGGTATTACTTTTATTGTCTGGTGTCCCAATGCCCAAGGGTGGTGCCATTACCATGGGGCAATGCTTTATATTGCCCTTTTGTTCAGGTGGTGTAATTAGAGTAATGCACACATTTCAGTGCTTGTGGAGGTTTCAGGGGACCCTCTAAAGTTACTTGCATGCATTAGATGCTGGTGGGATAGATACAATTAATTTTCTTTTAATCTGCATAATCAGATTGCCCAAACATATTAATATTCAGGGAGGAGAGGGAGACACAATACGAGTGTCCAAAATTATTTCTGCCCACTAACCACTAGTGGTACAAAAAACTATTAGCTGGGGGAGTATGCAGCTGTTCCCTACGAGCATGATCAGTGTTAAGGTTCCCCACACACCTTACGATAATCATATGATAATCATATGATAATCATACGATGCTCGGCGGGTTTGTGGCATGTTTGTACGATAAAAGCCGTACGGGCCAGTGTGCGCAAGCGCACACTGCCCGTTCGGCATTGCGGTCATCGGCGGGCGTGGCTTGCGATCATCGCAAGTACGATCTGCCTATGCAAGATAGGCAGATCGTACGTTTTTTTAAGTACCTTACAACCATTGCAAGACAAAAGTCTTGCGATGGTTGTAAGGTGTGTGCCCAGCCTTACTCAAGTCATCTGACATTTGAATGAAATAATTTCATGTATGCAGTTTATCCATTCACAGATACATGTGCTGAGACTGCTAGTCATGTAGTGAGTACACCGCATCACCCTGTGCTTAGGATAAATTCTTATTCGTGGACCTGCATTAGTGTGGTTGTATCAGAAATGATCATGCAAGTATTAGGGGAGACACGCAGTAACACAAACAATTACCTGTGCCTCCAGGAAATGACATATAACAATAAAGTATACTGATCGTGTAAAATATAAATGTAAAGGCGGAGATCGCCAGCACTCAGTTGACAATGTCGCTATGTCGCTTTGAAGAAGGGACCCTGCGTGGCCCCGAAACGTTGGCTAATTGACGCTTGTGACACGTTTCTTCAATTAATAAGCAAAAGAATTGAATGCTTTCGACTGAGTGCTGGTGATCTCTGTTTTTACGATTTTGGAAAACACGGCGCCATCCATGTAATCACTACAAGCACCGTGACCACTAATCAAGGTCCAATTGTTGTAAGGAGTGCAAGTGACACATCATAACACTAAAATATAAATGTGATAAGTCACAATTGCTTTATATTTCAAACCATTGATGAGCTTCATACCCTTATAGCCCACCAACTAGAAGAAATCCTTTCCACTCACCTTGCGCAGCAAAGCCTCAGTAACAATTAATAAAATCTTAAATTCTCTACAGATATATATTGCAGACAAGTAAAATATGAAACATTAACAGTCTCACGCTTTGTGAAGTCATTCCAGCACAATAAGAAAAAAAAGAACTTACATACATCTTGTTGAAGTATCCAGGATATATGAGAGCAGATTGATAAATAACACAGAGAAAAGGAAATATTAATCATGACAAATAGTGAAAAATTAAAGATTGCAAGCAGCATTAATTATGCTTGGGTAAGATGAATAGGACCTCTCACAATTAATGAGGACATACACCTTTGTCTAAGTTTTATACCCACCTGTGATGAATGCTCCAGCACTGACAAAATACATCATGCAAACATTTCAGTTAACAGCATGTTAATAGATTGGCACATGAGGGTGAACGAAGCCTTTAATCATACACATTGCACCACTCCCAAGTTTAGTTTCCCATATACACCAAATATGAGGAGAAAGTGGAGAGGAAACAGCAAAGTCAGTACCACAAATAGCTTGTAAAATAAACCACAATATTTTGGGATCTGCTTGATCCGGTGGAATAAAAATGATGTAGTATGATGTAAATGGCCCTTTAAATCTAAGGGCCTGAACAAGTTCATGATGTCTGGCAATACAAAGAGCAATGATAATATGAAAGGTGCTGAACTATTAGCAACCAATCAGATTTCAGTTTATCTAAATCATATTAGTGAAGGTATTATTTTGATTGGATGTGGGTTACTGGACTGTGCACAGTTCCTCTATGCCACAGCGAATAATTCCCTAGGGTGTAGTATAGAGGTTCGGAGGTCCATTAGGTCATTGGGCTCAAACATAGTTGCTGTTTCTTTTGTATACCAGCCATGTAATCACACTACATAATAAAGCATGCGTTTTCTACATTCCCTTTTCTTCTGACACATAAGATATGAGCAGTGGCATTTTGCATTGCTCACTAGGGCCCTGTGCCTTTCAGATGCCCTTTGAAGAAGAACTGCAGGAAACTGTTTTCTTGACCCTTGCAGTGCGAGGGTAACCTCACTGCAAGGGTTAACTGCTTGTTTTCGCCTAGGTGCAAAAATAACAAAGTTATACTCACCCGAACCTTGCAGCGGCTGGCTGTTACAGCGGGGTATGTTCCTCAGTGTTCTCATGTCCAATCCACAGTTTATTGGACCTGATGACTCACAGGACCTTAGCCCACAGGAACGGAGGGAGAGAGAGACTGGAAGGAGCGGTCTAACAGCCAGCTGGCTACAAGGATCGGATGAGTATAACTTTTTTATTTTCACACCTAGATGAAAATGAGGACTTAACCCTTGCAGTACAGAAGTTAGGCCCACTACGAGGGTTAATAAAATTTTCCCCCCTGTGTTTTTCTTTAAATTAGCTGTCATTGTGGTTGTTTTACTAAAGGCAAAATGGCCGTTCACTTTGCAAGGGAATTATCCACTAGCTTAGTGAATTAGGTGAAGCTCTGCTGATTTCCATCATCCAATTATGTGCAAGCAAAAAAATATTTTTTAAAAACTTTCCTTGCTTGCGATTGGGTATTCTTTGTAAAGGGAATTTTTACTACATTCACTCAGCTAAATGAAAATTCCCTTGCAAAATGAACAGCTTATTTGCCATTAGTAAATCAACCTCATTGTGTTTGCATTTATATTTGCCTTTTCTGGCTACTTGCAGATATAAATCCTGCAGAGGAACGGAGTAAAATAGAGCTGGCCATTGGCTACTTTTGCAACCCCTGGGAGTACCACTGTCGGAATACCCGAACAGTGACTGTGAGTGGTGGGCTGCAGTCACTGTTGGCTGAGATTTTTCGGACCTGGGTCAAAACAAGTGAGGTCCCAAGGGCCTCAGCCAAAATTTGAGCAGTGTATTGCTGATAATTTGTATTTATTCACATCCTACTTATTGATATTACAGTAAAGAGGAAGTAAATTGTCTAAAATGTATACAAATATTACGCATAAAAGATTATGTAAAAATACATTCACAGTAGAAATTCAAACTTTATAAAGTAATCTAAAAAGCTGAGATGATGTGCAGAGAGCAGTCTGTTTTTTGCCACCAATTTGAATAATGTGTTAACTAATTTGATTCCCGTTAACTGATATCTGATTGGCTGATATCAGTTACTGCTCTTTGCACATCATTATCGTTCTACCTTACTGAATAAGCTAAAACATACTGAGGAAGACACCAGTAATATATTATTACTTTGACATACTGGCTGATCTTTATGACCCCCCTGCTGTAAGACCTTACCTCATGGAATTTAATGATATTGATAACCCATGCGCACAGGCCTGCAGCTGCAGAGGATTTTGTACGCACAAACTCTGGGTTAAACTCAGGATCCCTCAGGTAATCCTCTTTAATAGCCTTGACTGTTGCATCGGGTATATGTTCTTTGTCAAAATTGACCAAATTCTGTAGAAATTCATCCACCTATAAGGAAGCATATGTACTTGTGTATAGGCAGCTAGGAAAGTGTTTCAAATATAAAGTTACTGGTATTTCTCATCCAAATATATGTAGACAAATTTTTATGACAGCTGAAAAATGAGCAGCCATGGTTTGGTTGAAAGCCATATTAATGGGATCCAGTCTATCATTTTAACCAGCTGGAATGTTCGCTGTTGGTCTACTCGCAGAGCAAAGCAACCCACTCATTCCATGTCATTTAACTGGGTGACGTGGCAAGATTCTGGCACTTAATTACCATTTAATCACTGTTCAATTTATGGCATGACCGATTTGATCTCAGCACAAGAGGGTCAGCAATGGCAGCCCCCATATTTGTCCCCTGAAAGGTGCACTTTAAAAATAATACTGTAAAAATAAAGGAAAGGTAGTCACTGTGCTTTATTCTTTTTTTTGGAATCTCAAATTATTTTTTTGGAATCTCTATTACCTAGTCTGGGGTTTTGTGTTTTGATAAAGTCTCCCTACTCACATGACAACACTACCACATTATTTTCAACTTTATGATATTCTTAGGTAAAAAAGGGCAAAATATATCGATCTCTAAAAGTTACATGTCATGAGAAAAGTATTGGGGGCTGCCTTTGTTGGCCTCCTTCTGAAAATGCTAGTTATCTGGCAGTGTCTAACTTAAGTTTCTTTCTTTTTCTTTCTTTCTTTCTTTCTTTCTTTCTTTCTTTCTTTCTTTCTTTCTTTCTTTCTTTCTTTCTTTCTTTCTTTCTTTCTTTCTTTCTTTCTTTCTTTCTTTCTTCTGCATCGCTTTTACATACTGCACAATCACATCAGTCCCTGCCCTCAAGGAGCTTATAATCTAAGGTTCCTATTGCACGCACATACAGGGCCAATTTAGAGAGGAGCCAATTAACCCTCCAGCATGTCTTAAGGTGCCCATACACCTTGGGATCATCGGACAAAACTTTTCGTCCGATGATCGAACCGTTGTACGATTATCGTACGGCAGCCCCTGCCTCAATCATCTTGAGGTTCAATTAGTGATAGTTAAAAAAACACCTGGGCATATTGCGGTAATCGACCGCACAGATTTTCGTGTGCGCATGAGCGGTGTAAACCGTACGAATTTTGACATACGGAAACGTCACCAACCTTGCGAAAATCGTACATTCAACCGAAGTTTTCTAACCTGCTGGATAGTCAAAAGTCGTACGATTGTACAGTATTTGCGGTTGTACACTGCCCACCAACCTTACAAATATCAGACGAAAACGCGAACACATACGAAAATCGGCTGATAATGGTAAGGTGTATGGGCACCTTTAGGAGTGTGGGACGAAACTGGAGGACCCGGAGGAAACCCAAAGAAGCACAGGCACAACATGCAAACTTCTTGCAGATTGTTTTATTTTACACACCCAGAAATAGCTTGCTAGCAAGCAAAAGTTAGAAAAGTGTCAGAACTTGTTATGTCTAAGCTTGTCCTCAGTCAACGAATCAGACAGCTTTGAAGCCAAAGCATCATCATGACAGCCAGGGAACTACCATTCTCAAAATGAGAGTTCAGCAATGGCAGCCATCGTGTTTCTCTCATGACAGATTCCCTTTAACTGCATTACATTTCCTCCAAAACTCCAAGTGCACTTTAGTTCGGAATTTCTCGATGTATGCAGATTTTTAAGCACATTGCATACATTAATATATGAAGTCTAAATTCTTTTGCCTTTCTTAGCTTATCTCTGATTTATAAGCTCCAGTAAACATGACCCCTTATAATACGCAGCATAACGTGTACAGTAGCCACAGACACTGAACACGGCAGATGTAACAAATTGGCCTTAAAAATGATAGGTAAATAGCAAGTGAAATGGCCTGACCTTTATACCAGGTGCTCTCTCCACATAACACAGTGCACACTTTATGTATGGAGATAATTGTGGCATTAGGTAAGGGTGAGGAGGCATTTCCATCTTGTGTTCCTTTTACCATTATTACTTCAGGAAATGCTGCGCTGATTATCTGCTGCTCATCCACTCGCAATGTGACAAGTGACAGCGGCAGAAGTTAGTGGAAAAGTAAGTAGCATATAGGATAAAGGTCTACTTAAAGTGTCACTAAACGTTCCAAGATAAAATACCATCCTTACCCATCATACATAACTACACCACTGCAATATACTAGAGTTTTCAAATTATTAGTACACACCATTTTTAGATCTTTTAAAAGTTATTTTGGCCTGCCACCAATGGAGTCTCTTTTTCCTTAACTTTGGGTTTGTGGGTACGAGCGGTGCACCTATATCGCAGTCATATGCACCATTCTCCCCAAGCTTTTATACTGCACATGCATCCCATCTTTACTTCATTCAGGCGGGCTGGCTATGTTCTCACAGTGGGACCATGCAGATGGAATGTATAAAACCTTATAAAGGAAGCTGGAACAGGGGAAACTTTACATATATATTTCTGGATGTGATGTGCAACAATGCCATTACAGTGATACAGATGACTAATACAGTAATACCTGGGTTCACGAACGCTTCAGTTCGCAAACAATTCGGTTCACAAAATTTTGCTTTCCTTCGCGAACTGCACATTGGGTGACGAACACGACAGCGACCATCTTTCCTGCTCTGAAACGTGGTCGTGACTTCTACTAGTCGAGATCACGGTCGCAGACAGACCTGCGCACACTTGCTGTGAAGCTTTCTTGTGTGCTTTTTAGCACATACAGTATTTAATTCTGTTTGCGACGAATTCGGTTCGCAACCAGAATCGTGGCACGAATTAAGTTCGTGAACTGAGCTACCACTGTACTGAAGGTCATGATTATGGGGGGCTATTGGTTCTGGGTTTAGTGGGCCACTGCCCTTTTCGTGCAACTAAACTAGATTTTTATGCAAAAGAAAAAAGAATTGGGTCCATTTGTTAATCTTAACAAAAAAACAAGTATAAATAGTTATTTTATGTTACTGTTTTATATAGCTACAACATATTCAGCAGTCATGTGCGGTACCTCTGGTTCTGGGTGAGGCATTCCCCAGCCTCTCCTCCAGCACGTCCTGCCTCGCCCCCGCCGACCGAAGCCCTGCCCCAACCCGGTCCTTAAGCTAGTGTGGAGGAATGGAGGAGACAGGGAAGAGCCTCCATGTCCCTCACTTGCCCGTCACTGCTGAGGCATCGAGATCGATGGCCTCAGTGGTGTTTTTTTTTCTTTTTATGATTGTACAGCTTGGACAAATGGCGCATTGACATTGGTCCAAGCGATCCACAGAGCTCACACCTCTAACAAAGAGTAGAGACTGTGACAGCTCTTGTCTCAATAGTTAGGTTACACAAGCAGTGGGGGGGGGGGCAGCTGCTGTGTAACCTAACTACCTGTCAAAATCCGGATGCAGCGCTCCGTCCATGACAGGTTACACAGCGGTGAGGCTTTCCCTGCTGTGTAACCTGATAGAAGCCGATCTGAATGGAGAAAAAGCTGTCAGCTTCAGAATTGAAGCTGACAGCTTTTTCCTCCATAATACTAGGTGAGGCTCTGCCTCCCCTGACCGCACGTCCCTGATATTCAGCAGAGCTTTCAATTAACTATTCACATTAGTCCCTTTCTTAAGGCTCTCAGAATATTGCTATCTATTCATCTATAGTCCTTACCACAAACTGGATATGCTGGTGCCATCTTACAATCACTTATGTCTAAAGGAAAAAAACTGTTGCTGTTGGCATAGCAATCAGCCAGATTTTATCTTTCATTCTCTGACATTGCAGATGGTTGCTACAGGCAACCTAATCAACTGCTTTCAGACTCTTTTAAATCATGAAGCTGAGTACCCTTACCTTGCTCATTAACACTTTTGCAGTTTTCCAGCTCCTGTCTTTGGGTATTTTGCCATTAGGAGATAAAAGCACAAGAAGGGCGGCAGCCACATTGGTGACAGCGGCTGTTGGATTCGGAAACGTTCTCAGCTCTGTGAGGTTTAACTGGATAAAGGAAAGTAAGTTAATAGGGGCAGATCGACTAAGTAAAACAAAAGAGACAACAATCATATTTGAGGGTGTGGAGGTACCCGATTTAGGGTGTTCAGAGCTGCATTTGCTGCCTGTAGAGCTGGTTTCGCTTTGGCCAGGTCATCTGCAGATTCTTGCTGCTGCTTGGTTATCTCAGCTTGAAGAGCTGCCACCTAAAGAATGATATACAAAAAGACATACATAGACACTTAGAGGTCTATTTATTAACAATTTGCAGAGTCGTATATCTGTGAACATTCGCTCTGTGTGAATACATGCCAAAATGAACGTTCTTTCGTTTCTTCTCTCCTTTTTCTTTTTGTTTAGTGCAATTATTTTGCTTTTGTGTAATATTGCACTATGGCCATTAGATGGAGCCAAAGGAGCACAGGAAATGAATATTTTCTATGCTCCTCAGCTCCATCTAGCAGTTATAAGGCAGTATTATATTAAAAAAAAACATTCATAAAATACACTGCCTTATAAAGAAACAACGAAAGAACATTTGTTTTGGCATAGATCCCTACAGAACGTTTAACTTTCCCTGTAAGGGGAGCATAATTGAGTACTGTTTGCATCTAAACAGAAAGTGATAGTGAGATTTTACCTCATTCCAAGAGTTCATAAATAACCATCCTACAACTTTAGAAGAAAAATTTAAGAAAAACATGACTTTTTTTCTACCATAAATTATTCTCCAGCCAGTGCCAATGACAGAAAGGTAAGAAAGGTTGGTAGATCTGCAGATAAAGTGGTGGCATGTTGTGTCCTTTGAAGTTTTCTGTTTAAAAAAAACAAAAAACTGCAAAAATAAAATAAGGAAGGAAGGGTGGGGTCTGTATGAAAGGGCATCCTGATTCACATGTGTCTAGGCCAGCATGGCCCTGGTGATGAAGAAGACAATGGATCATTCTCTAAACATACAGATACATAAACCCCCTAACACTGTAAGCACCCACTTACTCAGATTGGATAAGCAACACTGACTCTCGGCTGATGACTTCATGTCTAGAGACGACGTTTAAAAAGAAGAGAACAGTTTTCTCATGATAGATCTGCTGTGAAATCACACTACAATGAGCCCACTCTCCAGGGACCCCGGCACACAACACCCAGAGGGCATCAAATTAGCAAGATGCTTTAAATATTCTGACGAGTCTTCTCTGTTACGCACTCTCTCAGGGGGGATAAACTGCGAGATGAAGCCACCAAAATATTCCACATGCCTCGAGACAAGATATTAGCACACAGCATTTTGAATGACAATTTCAATTCTTTTCAAACTTCTTTTACAATGTGTCAGTTGAATTTAAAATCATTAGAAACATCAGAAACACATCCATTACGTTACCCAAACATGAAGCAAAGCTTATTTTTGCCATTGCCATTCATCACCTATAGCAGACTGAACCCTTAAAATGCCAAACTGTATTGGTCTTGCTTCTTGTGTTAAAGAGCCATGATTTTTACAGTTTGATAGATTTTTTTAATGACCAGATAATAAAGAATCCAAGTAGACCTCCAGCTTTTAGTTTTGAGCATGGGAGGGTTTTGTTGAGTTTTTATAACTGTTAGTGTTCCCAGATTTCCCTTCACCTTTCGTTGTCACTGAGACAGGAAGTTAGGAAAATCTCACCTGTGGGGGCGAGGGTCACCAGTAAAATCACTTCTTTTAGTAGAGTATGAAAAATTAAACTATCTGTCAGGTTTTTGTTGCTGTCTGAGGTTCTATTCTTTGCCCCAGCTATACAAAGCGAAAGGTTTAGTGTACTAAACACATGACGATCCGTCTTTCAAAATGCTTGAGCTGCTATTCTTTAGAGGGAAATTATTGCTAGGTCACCACAAACACAGAATATTACTTACAATGTCTTTCATTCACTTTGGTTGCATTTGGAAAATAGGAGTTCTCACTATACATCTGTAGGGACCCTGCTGCCCTATGTAGTTGTGGCCCTAGTTGCAATTTAGTGTGTTGTTGTTAGGCTGTAGCCAGCTTGAGGGGTTATCTATTTTTCAGGACTCTGCTGATCTTCCTTAAGCCTGGTGGGCTGGTTTCTCCCACCTGTTGCTGGATGGAGTGTGTGAGGGATAACCAGCAAGAAAAATCCCTAGAGAATTGCATTTAGAGGTATGGTTTGGGGAGATGATAAATGCTTGCGAGCACCTATGCAGAATGCTCATTCCCCTGGTCCTGTGTCTGGAAGGATATCTGTGTAAAGCATCGCTGACAGGACCTTGGCCCTAGTCTGAGCCATGTGCTGAAGGCCCAAGATCCAAGCCCAAGGTCTAAGACCTTGACCGGTGCAAACTGGGCCAAAGAAGTATATTTTTGCCAAAAAGTATTACAGCGATTACCTTTGAAGAAGGACCTTACCCATAGACCTAGGGACCTTTGTCTGCTCACAAAGGGATGTGAGAGAGAGATAGAGACTGTTACTGCTTGTACATGGTCATAGACTTTTTTGGCTGCTTCCTCACTACTTGCTTTCACATGGAGGCCGCTCCTAAGGGGTCTGCTGCTAATACAGAATAACCCGTCCTTCATTTTTGTGATTGTGGGTATTCTGCAACCCCTAACCCTCTCTCATGCATTTTTGTGTTAAGCAATAAACTGTATAAAAGACAAAACAAACTGTAACCTAATTGTCACTGTGGTATTGTGTGGTGCTGGCCTAGTCCTGGGCTGGTTACCAATAGACACGGTAGGAGAAGCCAACAAAATTACCCGCAGCTCCCTAGGGAGTCAGTGCGACACTTCTTAAAAAAAAAACTTGACATTTAACTTCACTCTGGTGGTCTAAGGATCGCTGACTTCATCACATCCACAGACCGGCCCTGTATGTGAGGATTCCGAGGGATTTTGCACCAGCAGCAGTGGAGGGGGAGAGCAGAACAGTGCTGACAGCCAGGGGAGCAAGGATCAAGTAAGTAAATCTACTTTACCCCAGCCCCTTGACAAAAATAAGAACTTAACCCGAGCAGTGCAGGAGTATCCCCACTGCAAGGATACTTTTTGTGTTTGCCCGGAGATGAGCTTTGAACATGAATTTTAACTATATACAGTATTGAGCTGTTTGCCTGGAGTTTATCTCTAACTTGTTTTGTTTATTATTATGATTACTTAGATCCTAGTTAAATACCTTTCGTTCCTCTGCATCTGCCACATATTTCTCCTGGTTTAGTTTTTCTGTCTGCTGGCCAATCTTATCGATAAGTGCTTCTGTATCTCTGTTCCTTTGATGAAGTTCTACTTCCTGTATGGCAAGTTTGGACTTCAGATCTTCCACCTGCATTATTACAACAGAGACTTGGTTAATTAAGTTTTAAGACAATATTTTCAATTATAACAAAATTGGTTAGCTTAAAGAATAAACGTTGCCTTGGGCTTCATTGTAAACGTGGGTAATTACATTGTTCCTCTGGAGGATGTGTAATTATCTCTCTGTATTTATCGAAATGCTGGCTTGAAGGCAGTCAAAATGAATCGCTGGCTTCTGATTTGCATATAAAAGGTTTCATTCCTTTCTTCCAATTCTTTTAGAATGCTGGCAGAGTGTAACTGACAGTGTGTGACAATATCAATGTACAACTTATAATTGCTTCCTAAAGTTACCTTGTGTCAATAAATGATCCTACTAAAAGCCATAAGAAAGTAATATGGATATATATGTTTTCTACTGCACAGTGCTACAATAGCCTACAAAAGCCATTGGCCTCCTGTGTAGCCTTTGCTATCATTTTGTCTTTTGTAGAATAGTGTTGTTAGGCCCATGCTTAAGCCCAACCTGTAGGAACAAGACATCACTTTTTTGTCTTAGTAAAGAGTTCCCCTATTAAAAGATATAAAATTGCTCCCATGATTATTTGACTACACAAGACCCAGCACCATGTCAACATAGATAAATTTGCAGATACATTTTTGAAATATAAATGATTTATTTTAATACAATAGCACTGAAGATGATGGGCGGTTAAAGCATCTGTTATTTCCAGTGTGTGTTAGAAGACAAGTTCACTTTTAGCAAAAAGCAACTATTCTACCTTCTCTAGCTCCTTAACCGTAAAGTAGATATATGGCCTCCCATTAAAGACATATGTGCTACAGCACATAATTATAATTGTACCTGCACTCAGATCTGGTCCAATGGTGGAAACCTGCCCCTAGGTCCAGTGCATTCCAGACCAGACAAAATGAGACATGCAGTATTTTTCTGGTCTGGTCTGGAACAGACTGCCTGGTGTGAACAGAGGCCAAAAATAGCATATGGATTCAATAGGATGCAATTTGGGTCCGGAAACAATCTGGTCTGGAGATTATCTGGATGTGGTGTGAATGGGCCCTAACAGTTTTCACTTTGTCCCCCTGCAAAGTCCCACAAATACAGTACATGTTGATCCTGCCAGTGAAGTCTACCTAAGGCAGCTTTCTGGAATGGTATGGCAACAATGTTGCACTGCTCCTGAAATCAGAGCAGAGTTGCCATTCGTGGAGTCTGTGCCTGCTTACACTAGAGTGGGATAAAAAAAAATGTTTAAGGGAGTGTGGCTATTAGCATTGCCTGTTGCTTGTCAGTGAGTACCTGGCCACACATAATACTTTCCATTGCTTTCTATATTGGTTCCCTCCCACTGTGAACTGCAGAGTCTGGGAGGGGGAGCATGCGAGGCACAAATGAAGGAGGAATTGACTCGATCACAAAAGGTAAAATAAGTTTTTGTTTACTTTATGAGGCTTGTGCATCACAAAGTAACTGCATTTTGGAGCTGTTTAGACTGTCACCTTTATATGGAACTTTTAGTTGAACACCTAGACAGGAACCTTTAGTTGAACTATAACTGATTTAAATATATAAATACTGGATTAGAACTGTGGCTACAAGTAGTAAGCAAGCGGGAGAGAGCAGAGTGTTGAGACCTAATGTGATCAATTTCACTTTTTCTTTTGTAAACTTGGAGAATGAATTGCTGCAGAGTGCCCACGGCTACATAGGGCAGTGTGGACTTGTGTTAAAGCTTATTTACTGCTTAAATTTAAATAATTCAATGCCTATAGCTTGGCCACAGTTCCACATGTGCAAGTACCAAAAACCGTCCTGATAATAACTTCCTATAGTTGCTCATACTTTTGTATCACAGTTGCAAATATTGCCAGATTCTGTAAAGCAAAATCATGGGTGTGATTAAATATATTAAACAGTGGTTATTAGTGTGTTTTATAACAATAATATCAGCAGTTTTTAAAAAAAGCTTATCTCCCAAATGTTCGGGTTTTAATAATCTGAAAGGGGGAGTGGTTCAATAAAATGGCAGTCATTTAGGCAGAAACACATGAGTGACATTTAGAAGCTCACTCATGCTACTAAAATCGCTAGTGATTAATTGCTATACAGATGGATCAAACGGCT